TTTTTTTTAGGCTGCTATTTTGAAGCCAAAAAAAAGATTTACATTGTCACACTTTAAACAACACTGCGTAACTTTTGACATAAGTTTTAGCTTAAAGGTATAGAGGAGGATGATCTTTTTCCGGGTGGATCATCCAAATAAGAAGAAAGACCTCGGACCAGGAATCGAACCCGGAACCTTCTTGCTGCAAGGCAGCAACTCACTGCACCTCGGAGCAGCCCCTGCTATCAGATTATTAATCGGAAAAACAAAAAAATTGACAGAATAATTGGTTTACAAAATTATCATTAGTTGCAGCCCAAGCATGATTACAGGGTTAAAGCAACTTAGGGTTTCAGAGCTTTTCCTGTTTTCTGGAACTTTATTCCAGATTAGGGGAGCATAGGAACTAAAATCTGCTTCTCTGTGTTTGTTTCTGGTTCTGCATAGAAGACCAGATCCAGTAGACCAGAGCGGTCCGGCTGTTGATCCACTGACAAATCTGCTTCTCCTGTAGCAACAGGCATTAGTTTTGATGCAAAAAGAAGCAGCAGGTGAAGAAATCCATCCCAACAGCATGATGCTGCTATCACCATATTTAAGTGAAGATGTGTTTTCAGGGTGACTACGTCTACATTTGCATGCCGGACAAAATGCTAATATGTGGTCTCAGTGGCTAAAGCATTATTTTTTCAGATGATTGTGGCGATCAGTTCTTAATATAGATGCCTTCTAACAATCAGCTGTACTTCAACTCCTTCTGAATGCAACAGATTGTGTTTGATTTTATTTAGTATAGGAGTCAATTGGATTAACAGAAATGTGTAATAAACCACCAAAAATGATGATGAAATACATGGAAGTGAACTAAAAGTGTGCAAAGGAAACAAATACTTCTGCAAATGAAAATAAAATTAGTTTCCTCATCCCTCACACCGAGCATGCAGTGAAGAAGAAAAACTCTCTCTTAACAGGAAGAAAACCTCCAGCAGAACCAGAACCAGGCTCAGTGTGAGCGGCCTCCTGCCGAGAGGACAGAAGCAAACAAAAGTTGGGGCTCTGCAAGTCATCAATGAGTCTTCTATATAATTAGAGATAAAAAAAAAACTGCCCAACTCATTTAATCTGACAGCATGGATGTATTGATATACAGGTTTAATTATGAGTGAATGTTTCATGAAAGTCTACTCTGCCTTTAGTGCTTTAGGTGAAAATACGGATGTTGTTCTCATTCTTTACTGTTCCCTGTTTGAACAGAGACCCTATAGTGTGCCAATTTCTGCTTAAATCATGCGTTTGTGTGGTAGATGTGTATGGAGTGCATTTTGTGTCATTATTGATGCAAGCAGAGAACATGTTTTTAAAAGAAATTTCAAAAGAATAATATTTGGTGGGGTAATTTTAAAACAATGCAATCCATAAAAGAAACCAAAAATCCTCTTAAAAACATATTTTGAGAGTAACTCTTACTCTGCTGTTTTCTTTAATTTTATTTAACTTTTTTCTTTATTTTACAGACTTCATGTTTCAGATTTCCCTTTCATAGATAGAGGTTTACAAAGTGCTTGCTTCTCAAATTTCATAAAAGGACCTATTGACTAAAGAGTGAATTTAGATCCATTATTGTTGGAATAAAAACACATTTTGAAAATGTGAATTTTAAGAGAGAAAAACTACAATCCACAAAAAAAAAATTAATAAAGACAGGTTTTACGATTTAATTTTTATTGTGTCACATTCAATAAAAAAGTATTTTTTTAAAACAAGATTTTATAACCTTTTTTTAAATCTCCTTTTCAAATCACATTCTTAACTGCTATCTTAAATATAGATATTAAATATATCTTTAATACAGATCAAATTTGCTTCACTTTAAATTAAATACAAACGTTTATCCTTAACGCGCACTTTTGCCAACAAGATTATTGCTAACGTCAAGCAGACCAATAAAAAAATCATCTCTTTAATGTAGAGGAAGTTTGCTGCTAGTGCTTCAGGAGCTGGAGGCAATAGTAGCAGCTCAACAACAACTGATGGTGAAGCACCGGCAACAGGCCCCTAATGCTCCAGCATCTTCCACCAGGATAAAAATCCCATTTGGATGCTAAGATCCTATCCAGATCCGTCTGACATCACTAATGCCAAGCAAACATGACATGCATTCCATAACTAGATATAGTGACTTAATATCACAATGTTTTTTTTTTTTATTACTGCTGCTTACCTTATCAAAGTGGCACTTAAAAAAAATGAAATTGTCTAGGAGCTGTTCTAGAAAATTCTTTTTCTTTATACTTGGGTATACAAAATGACAAAATTAATCCAAGTCTAAGAAAGCTCCACAGAAGTGAAGTAAACATTAACTTTGTAAAACATAAAAATGCAGTTTGTAAAACTCAATCTGAAAATAGAAATTTAAAGGTAAAATACATACTTTCTTTTTAGAAATTATTGCATTTAAACAGATAAGTTGAAAAAATAAAATCAGAAAGAGAACAGCAAAATTACTCCCAAAAAACTTGGACTGCATTTTTTATTTATTTTTTAATACAGATGGCATTTACTTGCAGCAATAATGGATCAAAATTCACCCCATAGCCATGCAGGGTTCGTTTTATTCTACACTTTAATGCTTTTTAAATTTTTTTTATTTTTTATTAATGAAGCATAATCTCAGACACCAAAGCAACCTTAACCTCCTGTCTGATTAAAACGAGGATAACTTTCATGTCCTGAATAAACCTGAACACACCATTCCACATGGCTTTAACCTTGCTTTTCAAGCAGCATTTCAAAACAGGGTTTAATCGCTGCTGCAGTTCAGGGGCCTGTTTCAATAAGGAAGTTCAACCAACTCTGAGTTAAAACTTGAACTCTGAGTTGACTTATCCTGAGATTGGAAACTCTGAGTTTTGGGTTTCAGAACAGCTGAAATGAGTTAGTTCAATCAACTCTAAATTGACTGACTCTGAGTTAAGCGTGTGCACCGCAACTATAAAAAGCCATTATCAATGGAGCACAGATATTACGAGTCACCATGGCAACAGCGTCAGACAAAAAAAGGTGTGCATATTTCTCACCAGCAGAACTGGATGTGCTTATGCAAGCATATGCAGAATTTGAACATGTATTTAAAAAAAAAGAGCAACACGGCTGCAGCGGCGAAGGAGAGAGAGTTAGCTTGGGTGAAAATAGCTGCTCGAGTCAATGTGTAAGTTTACATTTTAATTACCTTTATACAGTGTTGGGTGTAATGAATTAAGTTACTTAAGTCATATAAATACTGTAATTAAATTAAAGACTATAAAACAATAGTGGATTTAATATCAAATTTTAAAAGGTATATTTTGATTTGAACTTTCTCCCTCTAGTTACACACTTTGGTCAATTTAAGATTAATTCATGCAATTGAATATTGTTTATTTGAAAGCATTAGAAGTGCAGTTTCTTGTCTCCCCTTGTATTGTTCAAGTGGTTGAGGTTGATTTGGGATTTAGAAAGTAATTAATAAGTAAGTAAAACAAATTAGTAAGTAGACCAATACTTTCTAGAGACAGTAATTATTACATTAATCTAATTAGACTTGTTGAAGATAAAATTTGTAGTTAGTAATTAAGAACTATTTTAGAGTAACGTACCCAACTGTTATAATATCAGAGGTGAAACTGGAAGAACAGTATTTTATTAAACCTAATTTAGTTTTCATGGATAGGTGCAATCCTGCAGGCATCAAAAGAACATGGCAGCAGCTGAAAATGAAATATAAAAACATACTTTAAGCAGGTAAGCCTTGAGCACATCATGGGAGTAGAGTAGCTACCTGGCTTTACAAACAGGATCATCCATAAAAGGACATGCCATTTCATTCCCTTTGATGCGCTCTACGTGACTGAAATGTGTGCAATGAATACTGTATGTCCCCAAAGAATCAATGAGGTGTTTAAACACCACTTCCTCTTTAAAAAAAGGGAGGAGACCAAAATAAACTCTGGATTTTGAAAACCTGCTCCCGACCAGGTTAGGTTCACAGAGTAAATTGCCATGGTAACTGACTCTGAGTATAAGTTACCTCTCTTTCAGAAACGGGCTTGACTTACTCTGCTTTCTCAGGTTTAACTTACCTCCCTTTCTGAAACAGAAAACCCAGAGTTTCCCTCATTTCAGCGTTAAACTCAGAGTTTTCACTTAACCTCCTTTCTGAAACAGGCCCCAGAAGACAATCTCAGCTAAACGGTTTGTTTAGAGGACTACTAATTAAATAATCATCTGAAGGTGCTTTTCTCTGTTTTACCACTAGGGGGCCCTTTCCTCAGAACAATGTACAAAGAACAGGAAACGTACAACTTTAAAGTCAGCGGGATGGGCTGCTTGATGTGTTCAAGTGCCGCCAAATCGTTTACAGTTTCATTTAAAAGATAACCTGTTCAATAAAACCTTTTACACATGTTCAAAATGAGATACATGTTTTTAGAGCAAATATATGGTTTTCATGACCTAATCAATGGGAAGATGACTGCTGGATAATTAAAGGAGCAGGCTGATTACAGAACATTGGTGTAAAGTTGATTAGATGGAGAGACGGTAGGTGTAAAAGGATAATTAAATAAATTGGTTTAACAACATCACTGTTTTATTGTCCAGTAAACTGGACAGACTATAACCTGGAGAGGAGGAGGGACATCAGAGCAACCTGGACTTTAACACCTCAGCCTTTAACCTTTCACCGATTTCCTAATTCATCGATACACATCCCTAATTCCCCGTTTAGAAAACAGCAAAACTGCGTCGTTTTATCTCTGAGCTGCTTTATTGTCACTGAAAGCAACAGTTCTGCTAATAATTGTCAGTATACTAAACATACAGGAAAATCCCACCAGCCGACGTCGTCATAGTGAAGCTCGTCTAGACTAATCCCTTTATCAAACTTCCAAGGCTGCCATTTCTGACCCTGTAGGGCTTCAAATCAAAAGCAGATGTCCTTTCCTCACATAAGGTGTGTTAACATATAAAAAAAAAATTTATACAGAGTCCTTTTTCTGTGATGTAATGTGGTTATTATTTAACACTTATAAACTGGTATCAAACTCCAGGGGATGGTTAATGTTAATGGAGAGGAGTGAAATGGGGGTGGGGGGTCCCCCTGGAGGTCTAGCTGGTCTCTGACGCTGGAACTGACGGCTTGGCCTCGTCTGCCACAGAAGGACCGTCTCCTCCATATTTGTTCTTCACTGAACGTCCCAAAAACTGCCAGTACTCCTTACGGATGGTGTCCTTCTCCTGGGCGAGAAGCTCACAGATCTTTAGGAGGTGAATTCAAAACAAGAAGGAAATAAAAAGATTAATCAGAGCTTTAGCTAAGTTAATATTGGAAAAGTGAAATAAAGGTCTCCTGGTTTTTCTTACCTCTAACGCCTTCTTTAACGTCTCTTTTTGTTCCTGTTCCGTATTTTCCTTTTGGCTGCTGAACTCTAAAGCGTCTTCATAACAGTCGAACAGGAAGGCGAGGAGATACGGGGAGCAGTGGGTCTCCTTCAGCTCCAGGACCTTTTCCAGCAGACCCGGCTGAGATGAGAGGCCTCTATCTTGCAGCATCCTTTAGGGGACGAAAGAAGGAAAATAGAAGAATATCCTCTTCATTTTTAATAACTAAATCACAACTTTCTCTAAAGTCCCCGTGGCTTCCCACTCACACAGAGACGGGACGCTAAAATATTCTTTTCTACCAGATTGAAAGGGACCTAAATCAATCTTGGAGAAAAACCTCAAATGGATGGTGGCTCTCAGGTTTGCAGGAATATAAAACCCCAGCACGGCGTTATGCAGGTCTTACCCTTTCAAATAATTCCACGCGCTCTCGTTGTGAGGAGCCTTCCTGATCTGGTTCAGACAGTACCTTTCACAAAGAGAAAAGAAAAACATTAAAATGAATGACGCTGAAATATTCATACGCTGCAGCACAAACAGAAACAATCCTTGGATTATTTCTAAGTAAATACTGAAGATTTCTGTTTGATTTTTTCTCCTTAATCTATGAGCCAATGTAGAAATGTTTCAGAACAACAATGCTTAGAAAAAAAGTATTCACACCGCCTCAATCGTTCTCGGACGTTTCAACCTGTGACCCCAACGCAGCAGGCTGAAAATAAAAACTTTACTGGATCTATAATTAGTCATAATATCTTTTTGTTATTGCATTTAGACATCCAGGCAGAAGGTTTTACAAGGTAAAGTTTGAGGAACACAGTTTGTATTGAGCTTTAAGCCTTGAACAAGTACATTAATTAATATATAGATTTTACCCATTTTAAAAGAATTTATACAAATTAACTTTTTTTATTTTTTATTAATAACATTGAGAGTAGGAAACTTTGTATTTGGCTGAAGCATAAGCAGCAGCGTTGGCCCACTGTCATTGGCATGCTCATCATTTGAAGGGCAGCGTCTCCTCACCACTGCAGAGCAGGGGTCGGCAACCCGCGGCTCGTTAATGGCCCCCCTTGCGGCTCCCTTTTTCAAAAATGTATGAAAATGGAAAAAGATTTTTGTTTGTTTGTTTTACTGCAGGAGGTCCAACAAATATTCATTATGTTTTCCAATGCTTTCAAAACTTGTATAATAAATTTAAACAAATTTTTTACATTTCTGTCAGGGAAGATTTGCGTCATAGCCTGCAACACACATTTCAGCGCAGCACAGTGCCAGGCAGGTGGCTGTTTAAACAAAGCGGCAGGTGTGTCTTCGGCCTTGGATCCCAAAGGGAGAAAAAGGAAGTTGGATGAGAGGATTCAAAGAAGAATGGACCGAATCATTTGCTTCCATTATCAATGCAGGAGGATTGCCTGCATGTTTGCCTTGTAATGTACGACGGAGTATTAGAGGCCAGGTTAGAGATTTTTATTTTTTATTTTTGAGAGAGAAAAAAGTCGGAACGTTAGGAGAATCAGAATCAGGTTTATTGCCATTGTTAGTAAAGGAGTTCACAAACTAGGAATTTTTTGTGGTACAATCGTGCAACATGAAACATGTAATATGGGGTAGGTAAATAAAATTATAAAAATATCTAGAACACTGTGGGTATAAGGCATGCAATAAAATAGACTAATATATACACTTAAGATAAAAATATGGATGTAAAATATAAAAAGTAAAATAGCATCTTAAGTATAAAGTCGTAATATTACCGGAATAAAGTTGTAACATTAGGAGAATAAATGTCTGCATATCCGGTGTTAAAAAAAAAAGGTAACCGATTCAATCTGACGCTTGAATAACCTAAAAAAAATTGTGGTGGGTATAGATTCATTTTTTAAACTGGATTAATCTCACAGTAATCTTAGAATTAATCTAGATTAAAATCGCTCATTTTAATTCTGCCAAAGGCATTTATGATGTGTGTGCTGCCTGCAGAACTTCAAAGAAAAGATTTGTTTTTATGTGTCTGCATAACCCATGTAATTTTGTCTTCTTAAGATTTGGACAAAGTTATACATACTTCCAATTATAGATGTCCCACTTTAACAACACAGTGTCTCCAAAAATCTGACACACGTCGCCTCGATCAACTTCTCATCTTTTGCAGCTTTCTCCGCGGCGTGCTGGTCGTGTATTTTCCTCATGGTATTTTTCCTCGCAGGTATTTTGTAAGATGGGTCACCTGTGGTTGCCTGCAGAGCGAGCTTGTGTGGCGATCCACTGAGCGAGGAGATTGGTTAGCTCGGCTGATAGAGCTGTGCTTATAGCTGCATCCATGTCACCTCGCTACGTTAAATGTGGTCATTTCCCAGGTTTAGTCAAATAGGGCTTTTGAATAATTTTCCATTAAATGTAATAATTTTTCAAAAATAATTGATTACAGAGCATTTAATTAACTTGGTTGGGTGGGGTCTCAGCTTCCTGCAGCTCCTCAGACTTTGTCTGGAAGCCCTTTTGAAAACCACTGTTCTCACCCCCACTTCATTGTGTTGCTCCATAAACTCCTAATAAGGTTGGTGGTTGTAATGTAACCAAATGTTCACAGAAAAAAGGGGCACAAGGGGGTGAATACTTTTGTGAGGTATTGCATTGCGGGAAACAAGAAAACAAAGATGCAGAAATGAAGACCTACTGAATCTCTCTCTGCACAACAGCCGGATCAGAGAAGCCTGTGGTGTGAGAAATAACAAAATGCCTCTGGTTCCATGCAGAGTTATTCCGCACATCCTCCTCTAAGAGAGTCTCCACAAACTCCAGCTCCTTGTCCCACAGTTTGTACTCCTGAGGATCAAACACAACGAAACGGTATCAGCAAGCTGTAAAACGGACGCAGAGCCATTCCTCAAAAAACAAAACAAAACTGTATACCCAGCCTAGTAGGAGGCGGTAATGTGGACAGGAAAACTAATCTTAATCCTCATGTGGTGAAGGTTAACAGGATGAGGAGCAACACTTACCTGGATGACCCACTGTCTGTGCTGCCATGCATGGTAGTTCTTGGCATCTTGGCTGAGGATGTCTGCAATGAACTCGAGTTCCTCTGAGGGGTCATTCAACCACTCCACCACCATACGTCTGTGATGCCTGACAAGGGATTAAAATAATCATAGGTTTCCTGTCATGTTTGTGATCATGGAAACAAGTCTACACTCTTTAATTAATATAACCTGAATCTTTAAAGTCGTAGGGAAGCGGCCGTTCCAACCGTTGTATTTCTGAATTCTCCCAGTGGTGCACGACTTTACACGAGTGAATAAAGTGAATGTGATTGGTCGTTTATCAAGGGGGCGGGATTGTAGTGGAGGAAGGTTTGCAAGCCTGTTTGGTTGTAGCCGGTTTGTCGCAAGCATGTTGCTAACCAGTTAGCAACTTAGCGCTAGTAGGTTCCCAATGGGAAATTCCATTGGGACCAAGTAGCACTAAGTTGGTGACTTAGAAACGACGCTGTCAAGGACCGCTATGGACAGAGGAAACATGCAAGAGGAGGAGAGTTTAGTGTCGGAGGTCGTGGATGAGTCTCCTCCATCATCCATTTTTTATTTAGAGGAGGAAAGCGGGGATGAAGATGTTGTGGAAGAGGACGCCAGGGCGGCAGAAGCTTGGTTTGTTGTAGAAGGCTTCCAGCCGTACATGTTTGAGCCCTTGCCTCGCAACGCTGCCAGTTCTGTTAGCTCTACGCCTGCTGAAGACACAGACGTCCATCCCCGTGAACACTGGGACGGAACTCAATGGGAAAGTAACAAAGAATAAATTATTCTTATTTCTTATTTCAACCGTTGTGTATATTAGCTGCGACATATGAATCAAGATGGTATGAGCGAAAACATTTGATTGACAGATTAACATTGATAATTGATTGGCTGAATTTAGGTGTTTAGGCTGACGTATAACTAACTGGCCTGCAGAAGATAATGAAAAAATAAAGCCAGAACGACTGACATTAAAATTTGACTTTCCTACGACTTTAAAATTACTCAGATTTTCTCTCATCCCATGCCTTTCATGTCCATTGACTTCTTTGAGTCATCATTACATTAGTGAAGCTAAAAAGAATATTTTCACTGAAGAGTTCTGAGGCAAATGGAATCAGAATATCTTATTTTTAAACCCGCTTTGTCAACTTTTAATTCAAGGTCAACTAAAAGTAAAGGAGGGAAATTTGACGATCTGGTAAAGCTGGCTCACCAGACTTGGTAGTTCTTTGGTTGCTCCTCGATAATGTTGGTAATGTACTTCATCTCTTCCCTCAGATCCTTCGACAGAGCCTGCAGCAGTACCCGTCTGTAGTGCCTGAACAGAGTTAGATCACACTTTTCTTAAGAACCATAAAGGGAAACCAACAGAGTAAAAAAGATAAATCAAACATTATATTTGAGGTGATCATAGTTATACAGTAATGCTAAAAGTAAACTGATTTGTTGATATTTTTCCACTTTTTTTTCTAAAACATTCTACATATATCAGCATAGGACATTCAGTTTTATTCTCTGAATGTTCAACAATTCATGAACGTGAAGCTGATTATAGGGAAACAACCTTTAAGGAGAAAATTCTCTGGTTTTAGCATCTTGAATACGGAGAGAAGTTTGTTCCAACTTTGGAAAACATTTCAATAAAACAAAAAAGTTATTTATAGTATGCAGACAAAATAAAGGGCAGCAAATAGAGATCAGTTAGACTGGTTTTAAAATAGCCAGATTTAGCCTTGAATAAACCTGAATGCATCCATCTCTACTCACCAGACTGTGTAATTGGCTGCATTGAGCTCGATGGCGTCCGCCGTCAGAGCCAAAGCCCTCTCGCTTTTTTCATCCTTCTTTAGGAGTGCACGGAAATAGTCATAAACATCTGCAACTGTTGGAGGAAAAATAGGAAGATGAGCCTCGACGTTGAAATTTGAAATACATTTACCTTTTATTTTAAGATAAACTTAAATTAGAATATCCTTTAAAAGTGGGTCTGCGTAACTAAAATAGAAACATTTCTAAGTTAGCCGTTTCAATTTTTTTATCCTTTTGATGATTGCAGTAAACAGTGAGTGAAAACCCAGGATTCAGTTTCTCAAATATAAAAATTTAATTAGACCAATAAGAAGTTGAAAGATGTTATACGGAAATGTTTTTGTCGTTTCCTATTCAGTTATGGGGAAAACTACAATCATTATTTATTGTTAGCAAAGCTGGCCTTCCAGGGTGCTATAATTAAATCTTTTTTTGCTGAGAAAAGAGTTCGAGAGACTGACGTAGGGATGGGTCCAGCTACACTGATGCGCCGGTGCATGTATTGAGCTCCAACAGCAAAACCTGACCGATTAAGGAGCTGTTTCAAACTGACTGACGGACTAAACTGTGTTTATAAGCATACAGGTGCTGGTCATAAAATTAGAATATCATGAAAAAGTAGATTGATTTCAGTAATTCCATTTAAAAAGTGAAACTTGTATATTATATTCATACATTACATACAAACTCATATATTTCAGATGTTTATTTTGTTTAATTTTGATGATTACAAATGACAACAAATGAAAATCTCAAATTCATCATATCAGAAAATTAGAATATTACTGAAGACCAATAAAAACAAAGGATTTATAGAAATGTTGGCCAACTGAAAAGTATGAACATGAAAAGTATGAGCATGTACAGCACTCAGTATTTAGTTGGGCCTCCTTTGGCCTGTATTACTGCAGCAATGCGGCGTGGCAGGGAGTCGATCAGTCTGTGGCACTGCTCAGGTGTTATGATAGCCCAGGTTGCTCTAATAGTGGCTTTTAGCTCTTCTGAATTGTTGGGTCTGGTGTATTGCATCTTCTTCTTCACAATACCCCATAGATTTTCTATGGGGTTAAGGTCAGGAGAGTTTGCTGGCCAATTAAGAACAGGGATACCATGGTCCTTCAACCAGGTACTGGTAGCTTTGGCACTGTGTGCAGGTGCCAAGTCCTGTTGGAAAATGAAATCTGCATCTCCAAAAAGTTGGTCAGCTGCAGGAAGCATGAAGTGCTCTAAAACTTCCTGGTATGTGGCTGCGTTGACCCTGGACCTCAGAAAACACAATGGACCAACACCAGCAGATGACATGGCACCCCAAACCATCACTGACTGTGGAAACTTTACACTGGACTTCAAGCAACGTGGATGAAGTGCCTCTCTTCTTTTCCTCCAGACTCTGGGACCTTGATTTCCAAAGGAAATGCAAAATTTACTTTCATCAGAGAACATGACTTTGGACCACTCACCAGCAGTCCAGTCCTGTTTCTCTTTAGCCCAGGCAAGACGCTTCTGACGCTGTCTGTGGTTCAAGAGTGGCTTGACACAAGGAATGCAACAGCAGAAACCCATGTCTTTCATACGTCTGTGTGTGGTGGTTCTTGAAGCACTCACTCCAGCTGCAGTCCACTCTTTGTGAATCTCCCCCACATTTTTGAATGGGTTTTGTTTCACAATCCTCTCCAGGGTGCGGTTATCTCTCTTGCTTGTACACTTTTTTCGACCACATCTTTTCCTTCCCTTCGCCTCTCTATTAATGTGCTTGGACACTGAGCTCTGTGAACAGCCAGCCTCTTTAGCGATGACCTTTTGTGTCTTGCCCTCCTTGTGCAAGGTGTCGATGGTCGTCTTTTGGACAACTGTCAAGTCAGCAGTCTTCCCCATGATTGTGTAGCCTATAGAACTAGACTGAAAGACCATTTAAAGGCTTTTGCAGGTGGTTTGAGTTAATTAGCTGATTAGAGTGTGGCACCAGGGGCCATCAATTTTGAACCTTTTCACAATATTCTAATTTTCTGATATGATGAATTTGAGATTTTCATTTGTTGTCATTTGTAATCATCAAAATTAAACAAAATAAACATCTGAAATATATGAGTTTGTATGTAATGTATGAATATAATATACAAGTTTCACTTTTTAAATGGAATTACTGAAATCAATCTACTTTTTCATGATATTCTAATTTTATGACCAGCACCTGTATCTGTCAACGCAACATATCTGCCAAAAAATTTTTTATGTTTTGCAATTTATCATTAAATTAATCAAGAAAAATGGATCAGCCTCAGGAGAAAAGAAAGATTTTAGCCGAGCGGGGCCATTCCTATTTCATATTTGAATACATTTTTTTTGTTGTGTCATCCTGTTCCTCTCAGTTAAATCTTAATTTGCTGTTCTTCGTGTAGTTATCTTAAATAAATCCTAGTTCCACATCCTCACTTAAAATTTTCCGCCATCTGTTCGAATCTATGGATTGTCTAAAAATCTGAAAACATTTTTTCAGTTTAAATAAAAAATATTAAATATACATTAAAGCAAACAATGGTTTTAAATATGATTTTAATATACAGGTAGGTCATCAAATCAGTGGTAGTTAAGTCTGCGTGTTAAGTCTAGTGTTTTTAAATGTCCAACAAATCAATATTCAGTGACACAGTATCACCAAGAATCAATACAGTTTGCCAATGTGTCCAAACGCTTTATGCCGCCTCATGAACCCATCACTAGACTGCTGGGTAATGTCAAGAGGAAGGAGAGAGACACTAGAACTGAAGGATGCTCTTAAAGCTGAATCTTCTTGAACTCCCTCCATGTCGGGGGGGCATCGACTCAGTAATGCACAATAAAAAAAGAGCCACAAAACCAAGTATTATTTATTTTATCTAGCCTCCCATGGATGATATGGCAAAAAAGGGCAAAGAAGAATTGCTTCCCCCCTCCCCTACCCGCGAACATCCGTGGATGCGCCTTGATAAACTGTTGATAAACTTCCATCTCATCAAGGACATTGCCTGTGGTCAGCGTTCATGGACATATTGAACAAATCATGCACACACAACAAATGTTTCAAATGTCAGATTGACTTAATGTGACTACGCCTCTGATGTGACCCTCTGCTAAAATGTCTGTCTCGTGTTTTAATGTGTTTTTCTTGTGATGAGTTTTTTTATATCTCAAACTGTATCCTGTCAGGGATAAAGTGTAAAATATGCTTTTTCCCCTCTCTCTTCCCCAATGTGGCTCCTATCTTTCCACAGAGATAAAGGCACCGCTATAGGTAATCACCTGGGAAGCCAGGTAACCGGTGGGAACCTGGCAAGTCATAAGGATGCGCTACTAACAGCGTTCTGCGGCACGCATGGCCTCAGTGGATCCGTTCCTAAAATCTTGATCGCAATGTAAATAGTAGTTGACAATAAAGATTGATTACTACATAAACCGTGAGGTGCATGCACACTTTTCACCAGGCTTTTATTTCTATAATAAAACATATTTGTATTTTAGCATTTTACATTATAATTTTTCTAATAAAAAACATTGTTTTTTATTCTCATTTCCTGTAAGCAGCAATCAACAAGATGGACAGAAATATATACACCACTTATAGTCTTTATATTTACTTTGGAAAAAATACATTTTGGGTGAGATACTCATTTATCAGGTTACACTTCTTTATTTTATTTTTAGACTTCCTCCCAGATAAACTAGGAAGCAACTTACACTTATCAGAGTAAGCTATCTTCACTACAGGGTTTGGTCCATCATCCTGTGGAACAGGCTCCAGATCGGCCCACTCCTTCCGGTCCCTGGAAGACAAAAAAAAAAACACACAGGACTGATGTAACTGCCTGCACCACGTACTAACAACTCTGACAACTGAAAACAACCACAAACAAATAAACAATAACAAAAAAGATGGAGAATCATTGGAAACAGCCACGCCTTCTTCCCTAACTTACACATTTTGCATTTAAGACTGATTCCGAAACCTATGCTGTTGCATTTACACAGAGCTGCTTTGCTATTGACAGTAAATAACTCTTAAATGCACGATAAATAACATAACTACGGTACATAAAGTTTTAGTTAAAAAAAAAACATGTAAAAACTGTCATAAGAAACTTGTTAGAAACATCCCTTTGCTAACCGAGTAGCTAACAAGGCTAAGTTAGTTAGCAGCGACAGGGGGAGAAAAACTACCTATAAAAGGTGTAGCGGGTCGGGTCGGCGCCAAAACTCTCCCCGAACTGTTCATCTGCATCTCCTTCAAACTCCTTCTGTTCTTTGACTTCTGTGGTTTCTGTGGAAGCCTCCTGGACACTTGACATGGCTAGCTTTCAACTTAGACTGATCCACAGAGCTTTTCCTTCAGGAAGTAGCAGAACGCAACTTCCGGTGCCTTCCCGTGCCGTTGGAAATATTAGATTTATACCTAGCGTCACTGTGAGGAAAAAAGGAAAACACAGCCCACGTAAAAAAAAAAAAAAAAACTAAGAAAAAAAAGTTATTTAAATTAGGGAAATATACGGAAGAGGATAAGGGAAGAAAAAAGTCAGAATTCTGACTTTAATCTCAGAATTCTGACTGTTTTCTAAGAAATTTTGACTTTAATTTCAGAATTCTGACTTTAATCTCCAATTCTGACTGAATTCTGACAGCTAACAAACATGTTAGCATCAAGCCATAACCATGTCTGTTTTAGAGACTAAACTAGATCTCTTGTTTTAATCACCTTCTGCTCTTCCATTAATGAAATAGCATCACCAGGGATCCCTTGGGCAAGTAAAAAGTCGCCTAATCCTGTCACTTTCCGCCAAAGTGTTACTGTTCCTCCCAAACAACTCACATCTTTGTCAGTGAAGCTGATTGCTCCCACATCTCTTCCTTCATGGTGCCCATCTACATTAAGATCCAAAATTCTGAAATTAAAGTCAGAATTCTGAGGAAAAAAGCCAGAATTCTGACTTTAATCTCAGAATTCTGACTTTTTTCCCCCTATTAAACTGAAATAATATTGAAAAAAAATCAGTTAACTTTTTTTTTTCATGGGCCAATTCCTCTTCCGTAGAAACATGCTACAGGGAAGTGTGATTTCTGTTTTCAAGAAGAAACAGTGGAGCACGTTATATTATTTTGCACTAAATATCTAACTGAGAGAAATAGATAGCTTACAAACCAATAAATTAAAGTTAAACATAAAACCTTTTAGACATGGACTCTAAATCAGAGTGTTATTCTTTATTTTTGGCATATCTTGAAAGGACAAATTTGATAACGTTTTTTTTTTTTTTTTTTTTTTTCTTTTGTAGTAATACTAGTAGGTGATCTTGAAGGCATCTTGAAGCGTTTCTACACATTGCCAAACTGTATTAATACTTTCACAGAGAATACTGACACCTACTGGACATTTAAAGACACTACAGACAGTTTATTTGACAGACTGGACTGAATTGATTATGAGATTATTTAAATTATTGTATTGTTTAATACCTATGTTTAAATTGAAGAAGAAAAGATGGCTCTTTTCTGCTACATCCATAGCAGGTTTTAGGGATATCTCTAGTTATTATCCAAGACTCCTGCACAAAAAGTTAGGTATAGTTATATTAGTGAACAATAAATAATGTGTGATGTTTTATAATTTTGATTTTTCGTGTGCGATTCTTCTAAATAATTTAGCCTGAACATGTTTGAACATGTCAATAGCAGTCCTTTATTTTATTACTGATATTTTTACATTTCTCAGTGTGAGATAGTAATGCTGTAATAAAATATGGATTTTTTTTGTTTGTTTTTTGCACAGCAAACCTTTTTACTGTCGAAATAGGCATCAAAAGTGTAGTGCTAAAGCTATTAGATTTTTGTTAACTGAAATTTTAAAATATAAGGATTTATAGAGTTTGCCTAGACAGTGTATAATTGAAATTGTTGTTTTACGATACAAGTAAAGAGGTTAAGGGTTCTTAGTTTATTTCTAAAAAGTTTAAAAAACAAACCACTGGACTTTGTTTTCCAAACGTTCAAACCTGGACAAACTTTTTTTTAATTACTTTGACCTGGATGACTAAGAACCTTCACCAGCGATTCTTAGTTTAAGTTAAACGTTTTTTTAAGGTTTTATTTTAAATTCAAGTCATTAAGATTTTGATTCCTTTATATGCACATAAATTGATTTTTCCAAAGGTTTGCCTTCACATAATTTTAATGAAAATGTGTCCAATTTCACAGTTCAAACAATAGAGGGAGACATAATCCATCCAGCTTTTACACCCCCACTTTAAAATTAAAAGAACTTGCGTTTGGGAAAATATTTTTAAAAATTAAATTAATATCAATAAAGCTGGATCCTCTGAGTTTAATCTATCGAAGCTGTAAAACCTTAGTTATTTTTAATCTACCCTTATTTTGGTATGCTTATAACCGGAAACAAGGCCACAAAACAGGAAGTAACGTCTGTTGATAGCGGCTATGCTAACTACCCAGCTAGCTTAGGTTCCGTTTTACAGTCTTCCTAGTTTATTGAGTAAACGACACAAGTAACTGGTTACCAGTTCACCCAGTGGATGACCAAAGCGCTGCTGTGAACGTTATGACTCAGCCACATTTAGAGGTCAGCTGGTATTCTTAGCATTAGCCTGTGTGCCCAGCCAAAGTCCGACGGGCAGACATGGAGACTCGGGGGATCGAGGACATGTTTGACTTTCGTCGGTAAGTCAGCTAACGACATGCTAACAGGAGCTAACCGCTTATAAAGCTAATTAGCCAGTGTTTGGATGGTTGTCTTCCTATAGTGTTTTAAAAGTATAGAAGACGGATTTATGTCTTAATTGCAATCCAAACGTATCTAGGAGAGTTTAAAAAAACTCTTAAAGACGAGAGGCAAATTAGCCCAAGTAGTAGATGAATGATGGCTTTATGTCTATTATTTACCCTGTAGCCTTTTTTTGTAGGGTGCACCTCTGATGCATCCGGGGTTTTGAAGATGTATACAAATAACTGTGCCTTTACCATCTGCTGCAGGAGGATTTCAGTTTCTACATATTTAATAAGTTAAACGGTAAAGCAATGAGAAGTGTCACGCTTCACTGGATGGTTTTGTAGTAATGACACGTGTAATAAGTTGGTGAAAATTAGTGACGGTGAGATGAAGCCTCCTGAGGCATTGAACCGTTTGGCCAAATTTCTTCTACCGTACGTAGATACACAGTTCATGAAGCCTCATGTGAACATGGCTCCACCTACTGGTGGACTGCAGAACTACAGCTAGCAATACAGTTGTGATTTTTTTTATTTATTTTTTTTGCAATATTGATTTTCTTGGGGGGGGGGGTTTTCTCCCCCATATAAGTGAATTTGGAATAGTTAATGTGTGGTCTGTATGATCAAATCTTTGGTAAGTTTTTTTGTGTGTAAAACGTCTTAGAAGAGAACAGTAATTTTAGGTACACAGTTTTACTGCCATTTTAGTCAAATAAGCTCAAGCAGCCGGTGAGAGTCTTTGTCCAAATTGGACAATGATGAGCAAAATGAAAGGTGTTAGTCATTTTTATTTAAACATCATAGTTTTTCCACAGTTTGTGGTTTTAATAGGGTTGGAAATTACCCACCAATCTATTTTTTTGTGTGTTTTTACCAATCTATATTTATACTAGAGCAACAAATGCAAATTAGTCACATTAGCCAAAATACTAGTTGTGTTTTAGCAAAACTTATAAAAGTCTGAGTGGGGTCTTCTACCAACAACCAACGAGTTGGAAGCCCATCTCTTACAGCTGATGCCACTTGATAGATGACGCATCTTTATAAAGCAATACTACTTCGAATCCATGCCATCTATCTGTGGATTGCTCTGATATTGATCATTACATTGTTTAATCCAATTAGATTAGTTGGAAAAAACACCAGTCTATTCTTATAACCTATGCAAACTCTATCCAACTCTCCTACAAACCCCCACATCTTGACTGAATACTGAGGCTGTTTAAATGGCTGCCAAAGTTCGGGGCGAGCTGAACCACTTCGTGCTGAACCACAGGCTTTGGATGTCATCTATTTTGGCTCCTCCCCCAAATGAAGCAAGCCTCGATACTATCACAGAAACGCCCCCTCCAGTACTCGACACACGCCTTGAAGCCTCGGCTGATCTCATAACATCACTAGAGAAAAGGAAACCTAAACACAAATATGTCGCCTGTTCAGTTGTAAGAACTGAGTTTAGTTTCCTGTATTTGGAAAATCAATGTTTTATATGTGGCCATTAGTTCACATTTAGGTGTGGGGCCACTATTCAGTCCAGAAAAGATAATCTGCAACTTCCAAAAACTTTTCTGTGCTACTGAGAACACAACCTGACTTCACCTTAGCTTTGTGTATTTTATGCTACAGTTAAGTCCTAATTTATATCCGTAAATATTGAATCAGATCCAACCATTGCACTTAAAGATTTTCTATAGGTTTGTGAGTGTAAACAACAAGTTGGTCTTTGGTTACTGTTTGCTTACAAGGAAAACTGTAAATGTGTGCAGAAAAGTTAATTTAGAAACACCTTTTGTGATCAAACAGTAGGGAGTCAAATGTGTGACCGTGGCAAAAACTTATGTAGTGCTTGCTAAAATTATTAAAATCTGATTAAAGATAATTTTATTGATGACCTCTTTTATATAATTTAAACATGAGATATCCTTCAGAAAAGATAAATCACCCTCTCCAAACAGAGATATCCTCTGAGTATTTGTGCTCCTACATCAACAGGTCCTTCCAGAAAAGGACACATCATTTCCGACACTTCATTTTGCAGATCTCGGCTAAAAAGCAGGAAATGCGCAGGGTTTCTCTGAACAGACCTGCTACTGAGCAGGGTTTGTTTCTGCGAAATTTGTTGTCATGATTTTACTCATTTTAACACTTTTCTGAACCATTGACCCTGCTTTATGGAATGGGGTCATGGAGTTGCACAAGCATGGCTGCTAAGGAGCAGTCATTTGAATAAAGAGAAAAGAAGAAGTGGGAGGGGACTCAGCCCTGGGGGACACCAGTGGGAATGTTTCTTGTGCAGCTAAAACAGGTAATCCACTGACAGGTGGATATGAGACTGATGGAGAATGTCTAGCTGATTAAAGAGAACCTTGGTATCCACTTCAAGCCTAACTGAACTGCATTGCGGTTTCTTGTTACAGGGATCATATATGTTTGATGTGTCTAATAGGTTTATTTCTATTTTATTTGTCTTGTTTATATTGATCTACTCTAACCACTGTGGAAATCAACTATTAAAATAGCCTCAAAGGGAGTGGGAGGTCTAGAATTTTGGAAAACCCTGATAGGAAATAGGTGTGTTGATCTGAACAATTGTGTTTTAAATATGTGCGTGTATGTATATATATATAAATGTATGTTTTTTTTTATTATTTGTTATTGCTGAGCGATAAGAAATAAAAATCTAATCGGTTTTACTTTTTCCTACTTTTTCTATTTTCTTTTCTTTTCCATTTAAAAATTACAAATGACATATGTTGCTTTCAAAACCTAGCTTTTATATCAACTATCACCCCTTCAGGAGGTCACCTTAAAGGTATTGTGGAGGATTTTCGTGAATTTTTTAAAAGACCCGCCCTCTCCACTTTAAAGAAAAATATGCACATGCACAACATTATACCGGCTCCCGATAGGGATTGCCTATTGTGCGTGCACAAGAGCACATTTCTCCTCGTGCACGCTCTGTTTAAAAGTTGCTGTTCTCATAGGTCATACAAGCTTATTGTGCACGAACGTCTGCCCTAAAGCCAGGCATACACTGTATGATTTTTTGCCTTGGGATACTGCTGTGCGTCCCTAGAAATCCCAGACCGACGGTGCAGAAGCATACCATCAAAACTGGTTCACGACCTGACCCAAGCAACATTTGATGTGTGCGGTTGCAGAAGTCTAATCTGCCCTTTAGTCCTCCTCCACTGTGCACCTGCACCATCTTTGCCATTAGTGGGGCTGCTGTGACAGCAAATCCCATTATGCTTTGCAAGGAGAGCTCCCCAATCTGACAGCTGGTAAAGTTGACATTTTCTCCATTTTAACTAAAAATGTTTATGCATTCTTTGCACAGGTTCCCCAAAGACACCGTGGCTCTCCTGCTGTTGCTCATCTACTGTCCTGTCGGCATCTGTCTAATGTTGATACGGATTTTTATCGGGGTTCACGTTTTCCTGGTCAGCAGTGCAATCCCAGAGAGCTTTGTGCGAAGGCAAGTATGGTTCAACATTACATGCTGAGCGTCCTGCCTTAATGGCAATGGAGAAGATCATGCATGTTTTCAGGAGTCACATGATTAGAAGCTGACATGTTATCTGCTGTTAACCTGATTTTTCGCCCCGTGTCTCCTGGTAGATTTGTTGTTAGGATAATGTGCTCGGTTCTCGGGATGCATGTGAGACAGAGGAATCCTCGATCCCGAGATAAAAACACCAAACTCTACGTATGCAACCATGTGACAGAGTTTGACCATAACATCATCAACCTCCTGACCCCCTTCAATACCGTGAGTGTTCAGTTCTCACTGTTATCTGCTGCTAAACGATGAACCATGCATGAATTCATATTTACCCAACTTAAATCTAATGGTGCATTCCCACCCGGAATGGGTGACATGAAGTTAAAATTCTTGAACAATACCTTGTCACTATTGTTATTACAATCAAAGTTAGGATTTAAAAAAGAAATGAACTTCATTACTTTTCTGTCCAGATGTTCAGCTGTGGCACTATACCAAAGCATTTATAACCCGACTATCACAAATACTTTGAAGAAAGTTACAAAGTTAGAAAATGCTTCTTCAAGACACCGGTTACAGAGAGAATTGTGATTTATATCACTAAACATTATGTTCTTTGAGTTTTTCAATCCTCCAGTGGAAAAGAAGAAAAAAGTAAAAACAAACATTTTGATTCACATATTATTCATGTTTAGACAATAAATTAAGATTCATATGAAGATGGGAAATTTATCTTTATATCTCCAGCTCCACTAGATTAACTCGCTGCTCCGCGTCATCAAACAGGAGCTTCTATCTGCTGCTTGCTGGTTTGATCTTGGCAATGTCAGACCTGGATTTTACAGATGGAGTCATGGCGATTTTATTCTTCACTGGCCTCCTTGAATCCATCAGATCCTCCAGAGATGCTCTCAGTTCGTACAGATAATGATTTAACAGTCCTTCAGAGAGCTAAACTAAAGAGAGTTCCTTACTTCATCCTGTATCAACATTAATTTTTCCATCTTCGATTTCGATATAAAAAGCTTTGTCTCTGCTACGCTCCTTCTCCCTGCATCCAGTCCCTGATTGGTTGTCATGATGCAGCAAAACGCACAATGTTCAGCGGAATTCACTTTGCACTCCTACTTGGTCTCGCTTCCCTTTACCTGCCCTGATCGTGCCATTCACATCATTGGAAGCACATCTATACTTCACTCCTAAATGCACCTTCTCAAAATGAAAACATGTAAAACAATGGTGTAATGACACAACAATAGGTCCGTGAAGGCCGGCGTACACTGTGCGATTTTTGGGGCGATTTTCCCAGTCGTGTGATCTTTGGATCGGGCCAACTTTCAGCTGATCGTGAGTCGTGTAGTGTACAGGGGGTTACGAGGGGCAATCGGCCTCTCACGACCACCTCCCGATCAGGAATCATGTTTGATTTTCTCCCGACTGTTGTGGCAAATCGCTCAGGGCGCATGCGCAAAGAAGAATTCTTCTTTTTCTTCTTCCTCTCAGATGTAAACACAGCAGCATGGCAGGGATGCAATGAGTGAAATGCAGTTCTGTCTGTAAAATTGACAGACCGTAGGAGCCACGCTTGCTCAGCCATGTCCTTTTTCCAAATACGTCTTTGCCTTTTCTTTTAAGGGCTTTCAGCACAAAATTGCCAAGACAGCGCGTTTCACTCTAGTGAGCTCCATATTCCCCTACTATTTGTTTGGGTTCCAGATAGACGAGTCAGAGCAGCTCCATCTCACTGCGGAGCTGAGTCCGACGTGGTTTTTAGTCGTGCAATGTGAGTTGGTAGATCGCACAAGAGCGTCAGGCCGAACATAAATGGTGAGCTGTGAACTCACACTGTACGACTAAACTCTGCGATTAGTCGTACAGTGTGAGCAGTAGCTGCATGCAACGATTGAAAAAAATCGCACAGTGTACGCCCGGCTTAAGCAATATTATCTGGATGGGCCCCATATTAAGTACAACACCTGATAAAGGTTTAGGATCCATAAATCATCCAAGAAGATGCAGTTATGCAATTCTCAGTAGTATATGATCTCAAATCATATATGAAATAGTGACTGTGCACCGTGAATGGAACCATTGGTGACAGCGCACCACCACATGTTACAGACAACCCAAGTTCCAAAAACTCATTTCAGGGAGATGCTTATCCCCCACCAACCGTCTAATGAACTATACACAGTTATTAACATAGTAATTAAAAGTACCACAGTCTGCTTTGCTATTGGTGTCGTGTTTAAGTAGCTCGCCATCATGTTGAAGACTACATCATGTCAGTCGCTTCAGTATCAGGTGGGTTTAAGAGGGAAATTTTCACACCATTACATCTGCAAAGAGACATTCTACTCTTTGATTGCATAGGGGTCCACTAACTGTCAGTGGTGGGACCCCTAAGCAACTGCTGTCTCTGCTTACCGATATTTAGGCTGTTGATGTAAAATGCTCCCTCTATTTGGATCTTTGTGTTCGATGTGAATCATCATAAAAACCCGAAATTAAATCCAGTCTGTTCCACTGCCTCTAGAAGTCACCGTGTGATTAGAGTTTTTTTGTTGGACATAACCTAACTGCCTAAAAAATCAATAAATTAAAAAAAAATCTCATTAATACTACCCCTAATGCTGGTTATCAACTCATAACTTCAAAGCTGCATCATTTCCTTTTTTCTCCAGATAATGTGTTACTGGGGTTTAGAGTGTTCAAAGTGTTCAATGCTTTCTGGGTAAACGTCTTGTTTTAAATGGTGGAGGCAGTGGAAGGTAAGGTTGACCCTTTGTTTTCTGTTCCTCAGCCCCAGTTGGAGGGCTCCACAGGCTTCATGTGTTGGGCCAGGGGCTTCATGGAAATCCATTCAGCATCTGGCCGGGAAGCCATAGAGGAGTCTCTTCAGCGGTACTGCTCTACTGAGGGCGTCCCGCCTTTGCTCATCTTTCCTGAAGAAGACACCACCAACGGCCGCGTCGGTCTGCTCAAGTTCAGGTTAGCTTGGCTTTTGGTTGTTTTTGTTTTTTTATTCATTATTATGTGGTTCGGCTTGTAAATGCAAACCCTGGATAACATCTCTGAGTTATTACCTTGATAGCAAATCTGCATGGAGGAGCAGCGTAAATTCCCTGTGTTTGAAAGGCGACTATGTGAGAAAAAAAGTGGAGAGAATTATGCAAAAAGTTTGTAATATGATAGAAAAAGACACTCTAGTAGTAAAGTTCTGAGTTATTGCTCTTCATTAATCCCAGTTTGAACTTTTTCAATGAAATGTAACTAAAAACAGAGCTAGCTATGTTACAGTTAGCCTCCGCTTCATTGAAACAAAGTGGAGCCCTCTTGTAATGTCATCTCTGTACATTGAAAGTAATAAGTGCCACAGTTTTGTATTCATTCAGTAAACTATTAGATTCATGTTTTGTTTTATATTATAAATTTAATGATGTAAGAAATGTGAAACAATACTACTTTTTTTATCTGCACATTGCAAAAGAATATTTAGCCCTTTGTATTATGGAAAGTTCCTCTTGATACCTGAATTCTGTTTTTTAGGAAAATGTTTTACATTCTAATTATCTATAGATTCATTCATCAATGACTTGCATTCCTAGTTCTTATCAATCCGTGAAGCACGCTAAGAAGAATCACTCTCTTTGCCTGCAATAAGATCAGGCAATGATTTGGTATTAACTCTGTTGCACCCGCTTTATGATAAACACTTTGTATTCTCCTCATCAGCTATTTAAGAATATGTATGTATCTTTTAGAGGGCCGGTTTTAGGGCTGGGCGATAAACCGGATTTTTACCGTTACCGCCATTCACCACGATAAACGGCGACAATTTTCCCATGTCTGTAAAAGAAATAAACTTAATTCTGCTGTTTTTCCTTTCCTGTGTGTGAGGGTAGCTGGTATTTCCTTCCCCTTTAAGACAAGGCCGCAGGTGTGTAATCACGTGACTCCACCGATCCAATCAGAAGCGTAAACAAAGACAAGTGCGGATGAACCCAGTGAAGAAGCGTCTAAAAGCTGTAAACTAAATTACATCAGTTAATCCTGAGGCGCCGAACGAGAGTAGAGATGAAGCTAAGCGCGCAGAGAAGAAGTCGAGAGCGCATTGTCAAAGTTGAGCGGGCTGCAGACCGGTTTTGATTGAGGGTGTGCAATTTTAAACGACGCACATTGTTCTTACTGAACGCTTAGTTTAGGGGCACCCAAATTACTCTGTGGAGTAAAAAATATTGAGGTAGGTCCTTTCTTAGCCTCACAGGCTCCAAACGAAGGTCATTGGAGATAAGAATGAGTTAAACAGCCTCCTTCATGGCATGAAGTTTGAGGAGACCCATCTGGCCAGTGAAAAATATTTTAACCTACCAGGAAATGGCCCCAATGAACTCAAATTGTTTTTAGTCCAAATGTTCAAGTGAGAGAAAGTTGTTTATGCAGGGGGTGGGTGGGTTCCCCTGGGGGTAGTGTGTGTTGGGATTTTTTTAAGGTATAAATTTATGTACTGAGGTTGCCTCAGTCAGAGCTCTATCTCTCTGTCCGAGGACGTTAAATAAATTCTAAATTTTTTTTTCTTGCAAGAAATGCCTCTGCCTCATCTGCTAAACTCCGCAACGCCATAGATGTTGAGCAAAAGAACACAAAATGCAAAGTTTGTCTGAAAAATGTCGGTACTATCCAAAGAAACACACCCAACCTCCACCACCTGCAGCAAAGCCTCAATGTTGAGTTCAAAGATGTGCAAAAGGCTCCATTACCTCTGCGCAAAAATGTTTGCAAGAAAGGACATTTTTCTCCTGTTCAATGAGACATTGTTGAATGTTTAAAACTGAATGGGTACAAGAGTTTTATATTTCATTGAAAGTAATATGTTGATTGATTGATTGATTGACTTTATCTCACAGTGGAGAAATTAACTGGTTGATTCAGCTCAAAGAAGAAGAAGGTGCCAAAGGAGCACATCTATACTTTGCTCAAAAATGCATCTCTTCAGAATGAAAAAAAATTAAAATGCCCCCTCTATTTGGATTTTTGTGTTCGGTGTTAATTGTAATAAAACCCCAAAATGAAATCCAGCCTTTTTTTTGTTGGACAGGTTTTTGTTGGACATAACCTAACTAACCTTTTTTTTTTTAAGCAGGATCACTGCACAGGGTGTTTACATGGTTATTTATATAGATGGATGTTTATATTTATATATATATATTTATTGCACTGGGTGTCAAATATAGAGAAAAAAAAGTTATTGCACATGGTATCAAACAGTAAATTGCACATTATAAATTGTACAAATTATTGCAGTTTTAGTGTTGCATGTAACGTGATTTAATCAATAAATAAATACATTCTGAATAGATCAGTTGCATTTCCTGCACATGCCTTTATTTCTGTTAGAAGAGCTGGAGCATTTATCGTTATGGAGGTAAAAATGCCCAATTTATGGTGATATTGATTCGAGGTCACGTCGCCCAGCCCTATGCAGTTTTATAAGTAAGATGTTATTTTAGAGTGCTAAATGTGTTTTTGGTTCCGATCGCAGCTCGTGGCCTTTCTCACTGACCGATTCCATCCAACCTTTGGCCTTACGGGTGTCCAGACCTCTGCTTTCTTTGGTAACGTGATTTTCACTTGTTTCAGGTCAGAAAAGATGGATAGCATTGCTAAAAGGATTTGTCAAAATTTTGTGTATTTATGGCAGGAAATTCAAGGGTCTGAAATGTAAGAGGGTGTTAACAACATATTAATGTGTGTCTTTACTGTTTCCCACAGAGCACAGTAGAGTCCAGCTGGCTAACAGACCTCTTGTGGACTTTTTTTGCTCCGTTTACAGTGTATCATGTAAGGTACTACATATTTTGTTTCTACTTCTACTAGATAAGATGAGAATGGTATGAAGCAGCAATGGTTTCTGTTACCTTGGCAGCACTAAATCTTCTGACTCATCTACGGACAGCTGGTAAAGCTGATTAACTAGTTTTAGTGTGAGATAGATTCATATTATAGCTCCTACAGTAAGTATCATCATACCCTAAGCTCAGATTTAGGAAATAGGATTTCTAACATTGCCTTTTTAAAATGTTTCAGTTGGCTCCCAACAGTTTCCAGACAAGATGGAGAGTCTGCCCAGGAGTTTGCCAACAAAGTGCAAGAGGTATGATGTCTAGTGTATTTACCTCAAGAACAAAAACTGCAGATCTTACACCAAAAGTGGGATTGTTTTATTTTTTTTTTTGCATAGCTTCTTGAAAGTACATCATGCATAAATAGTAGGAATGGCTTTGTTAAATTGATAGACTGGATGTGATTCAGGAAGAAAGCATTTGTCCATGCAGACTACTATTCTGGTAGATAATAGTTGTGCACTTGTGTGCACTTATTTGGAATTATGTCAAGTTAGCTTTCAGCTCATTTAAAAAAAAAAAATCAGTGTGTTCACACTAGGGCCGAAACAATTTATCTGTTTAATCGATTATTGAAATAATTGTCAACTAATTTAGTAATCGATTAATCATTAACTGGAGTGAGGCGACTCTAAAACATGACTTTAGCTTACGGGGCGACCCGCTTAGAGCAGTAATTATATCAAAATTGTAAATAAAATATGTAAACATTTAAAAAAGATTAAAAAAAAAACGTTTTCGTTTGTCAATATGCTCTATTCAGAACTCCTCAAGTGGAAAATTTGTAGTTTCACTGGATTCATTTTATAGAAAGTTTTCTTCAAGGAACCTTTTGCGGTCCATTCGGTTCCACTAGCATCAGTATTAGCATGCAGTTTCTACAGTCTGGTTTTAAACACAGTAAAAACACGTCAACCATAATAAAATGATGATCAAAAGACGAATTGTTCAGCTGGAAACGCTTTCCCTGTCACTGCCAGACTTGTGACCTCTGTTAATCTGAGGAAGATGATGGGTTTCCACCATACAGGAAAGATTATGGCTGCCGTAGAGTTGATGGCCTGACCAGGACCCTTTGTTGCCTCTTCACTGGGCCTGATGAATTTCATCATGACCTATTATGTAGGCCTACATTTCAGAGTTCATGTTTATCTATATAAACAGTTATTAAACACAAATATATCTTATTGAATATTATTTATTTCCATCACCAGTTATCATTGCAGTAAAGCTTTCTCAAGCAGTTTGCGATGTATTTTGGAAACATGAGATGATTCCCTGGTCTGATGCGCCACCTGGCTTGAAAAAACTGTTCAAAGACTTTTATTTATTTACTTATTATTTAGGCAGCACACATGTCATCCTTATCTTATTTTATTCTTGTATCTTATTTGTACTTATAATCTTATTTTTCTCTCTTTATTGCACAATAAAGAAATGATTCTGATTCAGGAAGCCGTTTGGTAGAATTCAAATGAGCCATTTTAATCAAAAATATTAATGTATGCCCACCACTAATTTAGCTAAGACACGACATGTTATCATTAATACACGGTTTACATTAGTAGGGTTTCTCAATAATGGTGTATTAAAAGCTGCGGTGCCTGTTTTTCCTGACCCCAGATGTTCTGTTGAACAGCTGATTTTCCACATACAGCACCACTCTTCAGTCAGCTGCTTTCTGCTCAGTGTTTTCCACAGTTTTCTACTTTGATCACTGAGCAGGAAAGATCTTATAATGCTGTTTTCCATCATCTTCTGAGGAACAAACTAAGCAATGTGTTTTGATTTAAAACTAATTAAAGTTTCTCTGTCGTGTTGAAAGATGTAAAGAATAGAAAAAAAATCTTCTGAAATGATTTTTTGGGAAAATAAAACAAATTCATCACATCAACACAGTAAAGTGAGCGGCTTCTATATATCCAATATCTGTGGTCAGAAACGTTGAACCGATCACTTTCCTCTTTTGTCCTCGTGTGTCTTTTCCCAGCTTCTTGCTATTGAACTTGGACTGGTCTCCACCAAGATTACTAAAGCTGATAAAGCCGAGCACATTAAAAGAAAAAGACATTCGGCCCCGCAGACATCTACACGTGAGTAAATGAGCTGGTTACACATTCAGTTCGTCGTCTTTATAGTTTTCCATGGTTGTCAGTGGGCTGCTTTTGGTTTTCATAGGTGCCACACCTGGTTCTATTGGGCTTGGATTCATGGCTCAGAGTTTGGGTCCAGATGATCACCGGATCACTAGGATGGTCCAGCAGGTGAAGGACGTGCTGCCTCACGTCCCAACCAATGTCATCACCAGGGATTTAGGTATGGATCAATTTAATGCTGATTTTTTATCATCTTTAAAAGTACAATTTGATCATTTCAGTTTTGTTGGTATTGACTAAATCTTTAATGTTGTGTATTTTACATAACTTCTGATGCCTTTCTTTAACATAAATTAAGATGGAGCGACTGATAAAGTCACGACTGGGTTGATCTACAATATTTTATTTAGCTACACACAACTTTATTTATAATAAGACAAGACTTCATAAGTACCACAGCAGTTTCCTACTAGGGGTGTCATGATACAGCTTTTTGTTTTTAATATGATACTACGAATGCTCCCACTAGAGGCCTGTGCAAACGTAGGAAAATAATGTTGCCACGTCTATGAAACCTTTTTATTATTTTAGAAACAATTTTTTTTAATACTCTTTTAACCCGTTTGACAAACTTCGACTCAAACCCTCAACTCTGAATTGATGTAGCCTAAGTTTGGAAACTCTAGGTTTTCAGGTTCACAAAGTCTGCTGTGTGTTTGTTCAATCAACTCTAATCAGGTCCACTAAGAGTTGAGCACATGCGTAACAGATATGAAAAGCCCTTATCAGTGGAGCCCGGATTCAACGAGTCACCAGGGCAACATGAAGTGCCTAGTTCACCCCACTGGAACTAGGGATTTCATTGAATAAATACAATTCAGTTTATTTATATAGCGCCAATTCACAACACATTTCATCTCAAGGCCCTTCACAGTTCACCAGATCATCCAGTCAATTTGATTCAAAGTTTTCTACCTAGGGAAAACCTGTTGATTCCATTGACTCAAAATAAATCCCCCAGGCTAAACATGCTTGTAGTGACAGTAGAGAGGAAAAACTCCCTTTTAACAGGAAAAAACCTCAGGCAAAAACAGGCTCAGTGTGAGCGGCCATCTGGCGAGGCCGACTGAGGTTCAAGGAAACAGAAGCAGACATACAGAAAGAAGCAGAGAAACAAAAGGCAACTGTCAACCAGCTCCACAGGCGGCCCCGTCCAGGAAACACACAGCCAGGCAGACGAGCTCTGAGCCAGCTCCCATGTCAAAGGACGAAGAGAGCACATCCAGTTAGTCACGGTCAGAGAAACAGAAATACACTGAAAAACAGGCCGATCTCCAACATCTATAAACATAGTTGGTGATGGCAGCAGCACAGCTGATATTTCTCTCCAGGATGGAGTCACAGCCAAACAGGAACAGACGAGGCGATATTCTTTATCAAAAAGGAAAGTTTTAAGCCTAGCCTTAAAAGTAGACGGGGTGTCTGCCCCACAGACTGTGAAAAAATGAAAACAAAATTGTAAAAAGTGTTTAAATGACAGAGAAACAGTGCTACAGCTGAAATGGAGAGAAAGATGGCGAAGGAGAAGACTGCTGCGCGAGTTAATGTGTAGGTTTATATGAAGCGAGTATGGCAGGCCATTAAAAGATTTATTAAAAGCACTCTCCTCTATGTTGTTCCATTTGTAGAACTAAATTATTTTTGCAATAACCCTAAAGCTGTTTCCTGTCTTCTTCCAGCTCAAACCAACTGTGTCGACACCACAATAACAAACCTCCTAGAACACAAAGACGAAGGGTCAGCTGATGCTACTGGGACGTCAGCATTTGGAGCTTCCAGCATCGGCTCCTTTCCCTCTGGTTCATCACCATCCTTAAAGGTGTGAGGATTCGAAACACTCCTCTCATTCTTGGAATTTAGATTTCTTTCCAGTTATAGACTACAGTTTTACTTGTAGAGACACAGCAGGAGTCTCCTATTCCAGTCCTCTGGAGTTCCTCACATCTCTGCTCCAACGCACTACTTTCTAAGCGAGAGTGGGTCCTCTAGAGGTCTGTAGATGGAGATCTCTCAGCTATAGTTTTGCTTTTTTTGTGTATTCCATAATGGGAGCTGGAGATTAGGGTGATGGTAACATGTCCTTCCATTCTTAAAGACTGTGAGCTCACTGAATACATGCTAAATTTTTTATCAGGATACAGTGTTTTAGATCCATGTACATGACAATGGATTTTGCTTTTGATATAGAAATAAACAAAATCAGGAAATTAATCGTTTCCTGTAACTAATAAGAAAATGGGGGATGGGAAACAACTCTTTCGTTTTTTTATAATCTATGTAAATACTGAAAAAGAAAAAAATCTGAAAATAAGGACGAAGTTGGATTTGTAATTTTGGATTTACTGTCCTGGTCGTGACCTGGAAGTTTTCCCTACACATTAGCAGCTGACATCAGCGCAGGTCATTCCAATATTTATTGTAACCAGGTCGTCTTTTTTTGTATCACAGTTAACGCAGATATGCCCCCCCCCCCCCCCCCCCCCACCAAAAAATAAATAAAAAATTCTTACATTTTCACAAATTAATGCAACAGAAAAAACACCTCATTTTTTTTATCGAAAAAACGTTTTTTTTATTGCAGTGTTTCCATTTTGGAAAATGTATTTTAGCAGTTACAATCTACGCGGTTTTTTGGTTATTGGAAACACAGGCACTGGTGACATTTCTGCAAAAACTCTGGAACTTCTGCTCTTCTCCTTTAATCTGTCCAACATTTACTCAGAACTGATTTCAGATGTAATGAAATCCTGAGAGCTTCAGATTATTCTTTGACCAAAATGTTTATTTCTCTATGTGTTCATGCTGTTCTATGTTTTATCTTCATTCCTTATAGCCTGCTGCCAAAAACTTTGGGAGATCACCGGCTGACAGACATTTGTCTCTCCAACAAAGAAAAGAGAAGTTGTATAAATACGCCAGAAGGTGAGAGAATAGAGAAATGTTTTTAAGAATGTCCTATTGAATATCTTTGCTCCAAAATGGCTGCCCTGTGGTTTTTGTATGACCTCACATACCTGAAGGGTGACGTTACCTATTAACAAAACACAGGTGTTTATTCAGTAAAAAAGGGAAAATCAAGGCTATAAAAGTCTATTTAAAAAAAGGAAAATATCTTTCATATTCCACATTTCTTTATAAATTGTGTTTCTGAAAATATCTCCTCTGTCTGATATTAGATTAAATCAGTCATGTTTGAAAAATGATTTTCCTGCCCAGTGGTCAAAATGTGCTTTAATGTAACAGAAAAATGCAAGAAATATAATAATAAAAAATATTTAACTTGACCACCATCCCTTATTGAAATTTAAATTTAAAAAGGGGATTAGACTTCCCTACAACTTTAAAGTCGCAGGGAAGTCATAATTCAATGTCAAATCATTCTGGCTTAAACATGTATATAAATGTACTCTTTATCAGACCATATTGTCCCAAAATATAGAAAATTTCTGTTAAAAAGAATCCTGTCTTACCATCTGTGTTTTTTCGCCAGTTAGTTTTACGTCAGCCTGAACACCTAAATTCATCCAATCATATATCAGTAGTCATCTGTCAATCAAAATTTTTCGGTCATAGCATCTCGATTCATATGTCGCAGCTAATATACGCAACAGTTGAAATAAGAAATAAGATTAATTTCCTTTCCCGTTGAGTTCCGTCCCAGTGTTCACGGGGATGGACGTCTGTGTCTTCTGCAGGCGTAGAGCTAACAGAACTGGCAGCGTTGCGAGGCGAGGGCTCAAACATGTCCTGCTGTAAGCCTTCTACACCAAACCAAGCTTCTGCCGCCCTGGCGTCCTCTTCCACAACATCTTTGTCCCGCTTTCCTCCTCTAAATAAAAAATGTATGATGGAGGAGACTCATCCACGACCTCCGACACTAAACTCTCCTCCTCTTGCATGTTTCCTCTGTCCATAGCGTTCCTTGACAGTGTCGTTTCTAAGTCACCGATTTAGTGCTACTTGGTCTCAATGGAATTTCCCATTGGGAACCTACTAGCACTAAGATGCTAACTGGTTGCTAACTGATTGTGGCTGGTTCAGAGAAACCAGCCACAATCAAACTTGCTTCCCAACCTTCTGCCACAACAATCCCGCCCCCTTGATAAATGACCAATCACCTTCACTCTATTCACTCGTGTAAAGTCGTGCATCACTCGGGAGAATTCGAAAATGAAACGGTTGGAACAGCCGTTTCCCTACTACTGTAAGGCAGTGAAAATAAAGTTTAAGTTCTGTTTAATTTTCTTTTAATCCACACAGGGTCTAAATTTTGTATCTAGACGCAGACATGTACACACATCCTTGGTAGGGTTAACTTGAAAGGTCAGATTCCGATTCCTTGTTTTGATTCCGGTTCCTCTCGATTCTGATTCATAAAAAAAAAAAAGGAATCATAAAAGCTTCTACATTATAAATTAGCTGTTTAACCAGACTTCTGTCTGAATGAAAGAGTCTCATCTTCTGAATGAAATTTATTTTTTAACATCGAACCTTACTATTAATGATCACAGACTGTATATTTCAACCAGTCTGTAGATATAAAACCTTTGAACTCTTAATATAATCTTATGAATTTTCTTTTTGCGGAATTATATTTTCAAATAGAGCTTTATTGTTTAAAAACCTCATTGAAACACATTTACATATATCCAGTGTCTGATGCTTTAGGCACCTATATCATATAAGACAGTTTTACTATTTTATTTACCTGATTCTGACTGCGATGCGGTTCTAGGTGGAGCTCCTGAAAAAAGCAGCGCAGCAGGAAGTCATCCTAGCAGATTCTCATTCTCAGTGACTTTTTACTTTTGTAAACAAAGGAACAATCAGATCACATTCTCCATCATTCAGTTCATTTTATCACGTGAAACAGATTCCAATTGAACTAAAATAAACAACGGAGGAAGTTGTTAAAATTATTCGGCAGCTCTTTATATTCTATTCAGAAGGCGTTGGAAACAAGGCGGGTATGTTGTAAGATGTAAAGAAAAAGAATATAAAAGGCTCCGTTCTCCCTGCAGAAGGTACGCTGTGAGGGGAGCCAACCTTAGCACAACACCGGTGCAGCGGGTCAAAGACGAGTCAGGTGGTGTTTCATCATGTCGGCCGTGCTCCATCCTGTACATTGTATAATCCCCTCTCCAGTGTCTCAGGTAGCCGGCTGGTCTTTTCCTTAATTAAGCGAAAGCCACACTTTGAAATGCTACAGCAGAAACGGATGTCTTCACAAACACTGCTGCCAATTCTTCTTTGCTGATATCAGGCAGCTTCTATTTACGTTTGGTGGAATGGGCATCGACACCAGGAATCGAAAGTAAAAAACTTGAGCGAATTCCAGGATTTAAAAGATTAGAACCGGTTCTGATCAATTTTTAATGCCAAACCTACTCATGCTACTAACCTACCAACTTACTCATTTTTACATAAATGCAGTTTCTACTATGGAATTTTTTTATTTTATAATTGTTTGAGAAATGTGTTTTTATTAATTGGTATTACTACTTCTGAGCTGTACAGATTGATGAAGCTCAAATATTTCAATGTGCTCCTTTAAAAAGCTGAGATGAAATCCTTTGGCATATTTTCCAAGTTGTTCATTTCTATAGCTAAACTAACTTGTTGTGAAAATGTGAAAAGTTCACATTTATGTACTCAGAGTAAGTCCCAAAGGAGGTGTGGATCTATTTCAATAACCTGGAATGAATTTGGATAACCTGTTGTTTCTTTTCTCCAGACGTTACATTGAGAAGCATGGACTGGGACTGGAAGAAGGCCACTGAACACGTTTGATCAAAACGGGTTAGAGAGGAGAGTTTCCAACCTGTCCTGCTGTCTGTTCTCAAATGTTTTTTTTTTTTTTTCTATCAACCCCCGTCGAGCTGGAAGACAAACAGTTTTTGTTATTTGCAGATTCAGAACATTTACACTTTCAATGGAAAAGGTGATTTATGCACGCGTCTAATTCTTCATCCTGGCCGAGCTATAATTTTGATAACTGTTTGTATAACAATTCACTGACTGTAAATCATCTATTTATTTTTATAACTTCAGAGTTGTGGATGAAAATAAAGTTCAGCTTGACCTTGGTTTGAAGAAATTATTCCGGGTCTGTGGTGTGTGAATTTTTTCTCTTTTTGATATAAATGTTTGGTTTTATTAGGAGCTGTAACACAATCCAGGTGTTAACAAGGTTTATTAAATCCCCAGATTCTGTTTTGAATTCTTTGATTGGCGAACATCACTTTGACTTTCACAGTTATAGATTACACCGCAAAAAATATCAGTGTGTTTTCTCTTGCTTTGGTGAGACAATTTTGCAATGGAATGAAAAGGGTTATGTTTAAAATACGAAAACATTGAAACCGCCTAAACTTAGTCTATTGATCATAACATTTTTCTTAATTAGATTAGGCTTTTTTCCCCAAATAAAATCAAATATTATTCGATCAATTTTAGTGCAACGGCTACTTAGGACATTAAGGGCTGAACTGGCATAGACAGTCAAGAAAATTATAGTAATAACATTGTCAGGACTTGACAGTACTTGGTTAATCTATAACTTTTTATGTGTTGTAAAGGCTTTTTTATATTACATTTGTTATCTTACATATTGTTTTATTTAATAATTTAAATGATGAATCCCAATCACCATACAATATACTTATATATATATATCTAACGAGTTACACTAAAATAGTCTGTTTCAATTTGTCAACTTCTCAGTTTACCTGATTGGCTTTTAATGTGTTTGATTTTTATTTTTACATCTAAGCTGAACTATGAACAAGGATGTCAAATAAAAATAATTGAACTTTATTGATCTCACACTAGAGAAATTTACCTCTGCATTTACCCATTCCCTTAGGGAGCAATGGGCTGCTATTGTGAGGCACCCGGGGAGCAGTGTGCCGTTAAGGGTCTTGCTAAGGGACCCAGAGTGTCAGTCTGTGGGAGTGGGGGCTCAAACTCAGAACCTCAGGATTCCAAGCTCTGTGGAACCATCACTCCTCTTTTTCTGGTCTAAATGCAGGGTTAATGAATGATGGCCCTGTGACAGACTGATGGATAAAATGACGTATACTGAACGTGTTCAGCAACCAATCTGATCAACTAATGATGGTTAAAATACCAAAGATGCAGTAAAGTTGTTCTAAGCTATTTATCTTTAAAAATGGTGTGTAAACAACTAAAAACTATCTGGATCTGCTTTAGCTAAAGTTCTAAACCAAGAATGACAGAATTTAAACAGATAAACAAGCATTTAAATTTCAGAGGGGTACAATTTATCTCCTGCTTTATTTGCTGTGTGCTATCGACCCACTGACCGACCAACTGGATAACATTAGAAGAAGCCAACATATAATTAATTTTATAATTCTAAAAGTAAAACTAAAAATGGAGAGATTTATTAATCTTATTTTAATGTAGAAGTGGTTACAGGATGGATGGTGTCATACATATAGGTCATGCATTTGTTTGATCTACAAAGAAAAGAACAATTAAATATTACCTGGATTTCACAAAGGTAATAAAAATATAGACTGCAAATATAGCTGGAAATATGAAAAATGCTATAAAATATGAAAAATAATTAAAAACATACATGAATGCAGCTGAAAATATATGTAAATATATTCTATAAAGAAATAAATTATAAACCTTCTGCAACCCAGATAATCATATTTAACCAAAGCTGCAGCCAAGCAAAGGTTAACAAAGTGTCTTGTATTAAAATTACTTTGGAAGGAAACCTCAAAACATGTAAGCATTTGGTCCCACCAGCATGTGTAGTAGCACCTGGTTGCTTGTTAGCGCCTGCTGTTTTTGCTGGTGTTTTTAAACACATAAGAAATTAAATGATCAGGAAACCCAGACTGCTTTAGTGTAGAGAATTCCCCTCCCACTGCCAGACCTGGTGGCCCAGTTTACCTCCGTTCTGAGAACAATGAGGAGTACCCAATGGTTAACAACGTTTTTGCATTTCTCAGCTGTTGCCAAGACTAAATAGCTGCATTGCTTTAGGTTATCAATGGGAAAAGTGGAAGCAGCGTGGGGAAACAGATTTTATATTGCTAATCTATGGGGGTCCTCAGAATGTTCCATGGAGCTCTTCCTTTGGTGGTGAATGTCTCACACTGCAAAAACAGTTTAAAAATTAGTAGAAATTTCTCTAAATAAGTATATTTACCTTCATTTGAGTTGTTAAATAAGAAGATCTGCTAATGAAAGTAGAGCATTTTTACACATTTAAATAAGATAATTAGATACATAAAAATGAGCTTGCAGCATGCATCAAAATATAGATAAGACATTTGTTATTAAAATAAGTATTGTTGAATTGATAATAAAAAAAGATAAAAAGAAATTTGGCCAGTGGAACAAGAAAATTTTGATTTTTGCAAACGTTGCTAAACAGGAGGGAGATCAAAAGTTTATTTTATGTGCTACATTTCAGAAATGGGTTGCAGTTTCACACTTCAACAAAAGAGGGCAGCGCCTATTTAATTTACATTTCAATTATGACAAACGCAATTATGGTTTATTTTGCCTAAACGTTGCACTTGTACTGCAGATATGTACGGACCATTTTATAAGGTTAGTACATTTTTGCAGTACAAAAGCAATAATCTAAGTCCACTACTGTTTAGTCAGTATAATATTCACTTACGTATTTATATGGTCAGTACATTTCTGCAGTACAAGAGCAATAACACAAGTCACCTACTATGTAGTCTTTCATTAGCTCTCTATTGAACAGATATATATGTTATAGTGTCTGTTGTATTTTTGTCTTTAATGGCATCTTGCTTTAAACTCTTTGGGCCGGATTTATCAATATCCAATTTTTCGTGCAGTAATTTGCGCTTGCAAACTGGAATTTTGCGCTAGGGGCTGAACCATGGTTTGCGGGTGATTTAACAAGAGCGATTGCGTAACTGGTGGCAGGTGCAAAACTGTTGGAGACGCCCTATTTAAATGATGGTTTTGCGCATTTTGTGGTTTGCGGCATGGCGAGTTTGGACAGCAGAAAGCGCAAAAGGAAATTCGACTCCATGGAAATGGAGGTGTTGGTGGATGAAGCCAACAAACATTTAAGTGAGCTACAGCAAAGAAGTGTGACTGTCACACAGAGGAACGCTATATGTGAACAAATCTGTAATAAAGTAAACGCTGTTGGTGAAACCTTGCGAACAGTGGATGAAGTAAAAAAAAAGATACCAGGATATTATAAGGCGAACCAAAGAAAAACTGGCATATAACAAAACATCTGCGAACAAAACGGGAGGGGGCACAGTAGATGAGATGCCTCTGACCAGCATTGAGGAACAAGTACAGCTGACGCTCTGTGAGGAGCAAATCACTGGAATTGCAGCTCCAAAATGGCAATGCTGGATAAACGATATGTTTTGATGATCGTTTCCTCCTTCATTCCAAAAATATTCACACGGAGTGAAAAAATGCGTTCTCTGCGTCTCCTTGCTTCATTTCAATGTCTCCTTCTTGCGACAAAAACCGCTGCCATGTGTGCGCAATTACGCATACAGACAGGGCCGGATTTAGGAGGATGGGGGCCCCTGGGCTGGAGTCAGCATGGGGGCCCCTGGGCTAGAGTCAAAAAAAAAAAAAAAAAAAAAAATATATATATATATATATATATATATATATATATATATATATATATATATATATATATATATATATATATATATATATATATATATATATATATATATATATATATATATATATATATAGTATGTGTTTGTTTTGTTTTAGAGGATGAGCAGAAAATGACCGAACAGTAAGTTCTTTAATAAGCCAGTTGTCACAAACTACAAACTACAAACAACTCTGGAGGAAATAAATGTAAAAAAAAAAGTACTTCTCTGCCAGTCAGACAGAACATGGATATAAACAATATAAAAGAGATCAGGCATACTGTAGTTTTCAGAAAATATCCTGACCCAGGTAAGTCCAAAGTGCTGTCAAGTCCAAAGCAGAGGTGGACATGAACATGAACAATTTTCATCTTCTAGACCAAGGTTTTTACAGAGAAATTTTGAAAAATATGAAGAACCAAATACAGATTTCCATTTATTAATGACACTTTTGCATTTAACTTCTTTGTAGGAACTCGAACCACAAACACGACCTACATTTACTCAAACGCAAACCAAATAAGAAAACAATACTAAACCTTGAAAAGTTTGAAACTTTGTGCATGTGCATTATAAGACAGGCTCAATCTTTGTTTTGTATCTACAATCATTTAAATTTTTACTTTAATTTAGCAGATAAACTTTAAAAAAGACCAAGTTTGTTTTCAAATTATTTTACAGCCCCAAAGTTCTTTTGAGATAATTTTAACCCTCATGTCAGAAAGTTTGGACACCACTGCCCTAACCAGTAACACCAAGCCCTTTCAGTAATGAGTGAAAGGGTTATCAGACATTTAAGCTTAGTCTGATATGAAATTTGAAAAGTTGCCCACTTTTCTGGATTTTTTTACTGCAAATTCCTTGACAAGATCACTGAAGTCCAGCTTTCTCACTAGATCACTCTCAATAGACATGAGAGTCAAATGGTTCAGTCTTTCTTGTCCCATTGTGGATCTGAGTCTATTTTTAACTATTTTAAGCTTGGAGAATGATCGCTCACCACTTGCATTTGTGACAGGAAATGTCAGGTAAAGCCTGAAAGCAATATCCACATTTGGGAAGATGTCCTGCAGTTTCTTTTCCCTAATGAATTGTAAAAGCAATCGAGCAGATGTGATGCCTTTATCACGAATAAAATCTTTAAACTGGACAATTTCTTCCACAAAGTCCATCTCCAAGTCAGCTGAATATTTACTTTGGAGATGAGATGCTTTGTTTCTTAGCTCTGGAACAGTAACACCAGAAATATTGTTCAGGAAGCCAAAAGTGTTGTTGAGGTTATCATATGCAATATACCTGCGATTGATTTCAGAAAGCAATCTGTCAACAACCACCAAAAAAACACTGGTGGAGAACTTTTGTTGAGCTGATAAGTCAACCTCTGAGGTGGCGCTCTCTCCAAAAAATGGTTTTGGAGTCTTTGATCTTCGACCAGTAACTC